CAAAATATATATCAGAAATTATTCCATTCAATGGGCCTCAAGCTCTGATTAGTAGATCGGGATATGAGGGGACTCTTCAGCCGTTTAATTTATCTAAATCTTTATTACTGTAAATCACTTGATCTTTATTAGAAAACATCAAAATGAATAATAGAACTGATTTTTTAAATTTTCATAAAGCATTTTGTCCCTTGTCATGTTCTCAAGCTTTCATAAGTTTAAATAAAACAGAAGACATAACTCTGCAATTTGCGATCAAAATTTTTTGTTAAGGTTCTCCATTATCCATAAGTGCAATAATCTCTGCAAGGACCCTGACATATGTTGGTAAAGCTAAATTATTATTTGATGTATTTGATATTTGATTAATGCATTTATTTGTTGAAATAAATACAGAAATAAATACAGATTCAGTGGAAAATTTGGTATAAATATATCATAATATTTTCACTATTTATTCAGTTCTTCTTTCAGTCTGTTGGATCCCTACATATTCCTAGCGAAACTTCAAAGGTCAGAATTGGTAGGACAAATGAAGATCAAGCATATAGATACATAAGTCAGTAAGCCATCATGGGTAGACGGTACATTGTTTGAGTTTAGGTAAGTTTGAAAGGAAGTATATGTTATCAACAGTATGGTCAGGGGTTTATTGATTTAAACAGTAGGATATTATTGACAGAAAACAGAAGAGTTTATTATTCCTATATATATATCATTGTCTATACACTAAGATATTACTTCTGACTACATATATATCTCTTTTTAATAAACAGAGGTAGAAAAATATATTTAACATCCAGTCAACACTAACTAGATCATTTCCGGACTAAGCTATGATGTATTGATTGCAATAATACGCTTGTGTATAGTGGGGAAAAAAAGGAGAACACAGAGAGAGAACATGTGACCCTTCTTCTTGCCATCTACAAGTGTGAAATCGAAACTTTGGCAGTTGCTGATCACAGATTTTATGATTTAAAGTACATTGGTTATACTCCCTCTCGTCAACTAATAAGCAATACAGCCGAACTGTTAATGGTACATGTAGCAACAATGTTTAAGATGTGTTCTTGTTAATATGAAAAGAAAATGTTAATGTCACATGATGTTAATGTTAATGATGCTTAAAATATGTGGGTAAATACCACTTCCATTACCAAATTCTTCAAAACTACACTCATGAAAGACTGATAAAAGATTTACCTTGACGTAACATTCTGGTTAATGCAGCAAACATTTATCAAAATATCTTTATCCACTGAGGCCTACTACAAACTTTTTAAAATCAATATATTTCAATTTCCAGACTTCCCACTTCAGAGAATCCAGACTTGGGAATAGTCATTTAGTATGAATATCTAGCCGAAATCATCCGTAGTCTCAATATCCTGTATGACAATTTATCATTTTGTCTTAAACATGTAACAACACCATCTCATTTTACTCCACTTGTATTTTATATAATCCACTACTCATCTATTTACAAACAAATACACCAATCTAATGCAACATGGCTGCCAATATGACATATAGGATTTCCAATGCAGCAAGTAAAATATATGTAAAATCAATTCAGATATCAGTTAATTCATTCAAATGTAATCATCATTATCATCGTTTTCCATTTCATCACCATCTTCCCATTTCTTTATTGTAATGCAACAGAATACACCAGTTAAAAATGAGGCTCTATAAAATCTATTCCAAAACATCGAGCATTCCTTCCTTCAATACTGTCATGTTTCTAACTTTTATAAATACATGTCGGTTCAATGTGATCATTAGCTTATCAACTATCCACATCATTTATTGACCATTTTTCTCTAATTTCACTATAATAATTATTGATTCAGCATTCAAGTTACATAGTGCAATGTAACTTGCTGAATTTTTAATTGAAAAACAATCTCATCCTTATATCTGAAAAAGAAATTCACTTCATTCTCATTTCACGGTTTAAATGTTTAATATTCAACTAATCATTGATTATATTCAAGAATGGATCATTCCTCCACTTGTATCAAAAGTAGTGCCAGGAGCTCTACACCAGGCAGTGTATGCTTATTCATTACAGAACACCTGATACTTTTTATTTAAAAAAAAAAAGAATCACATATCTTTTGGGGTTTTTAGTGACAGTTATTGTACACTATGCCTGATACCACTTCTCATGTATTTGAAAAGTTCACGTATGGAGCGAACCCATTTTTATAAGCCAATCAGAGACATCATTGATATCACATGATCTCAAAATGGCTGCTTTCACTGTCGAGGCATGTAATCTAACATTATTCAACTCCTTCACCACAAGATTCGATTCATCCAATGAGCTCTTCTACATATTCTGCGGTAAGCCAAGGGCCTCACAAGGACAGTTGTCTAGTCGTTTGGATGGGATCAAAAACTGAGGTCTTGTGTATTCATTCGCTATGTGTGCTTGTTCGTGATTGGCCAGACCAAAAATCGCTGGTGAATTTCAGTTAAAGCGATCAGGAGAGAAAAAAATATGCTGGTCTGCCCTTAGCATAGGTAAAAGAACACTTGATCATTAATCTGAAACACAGCTACATGTATGTACATGAATATGAATCCAAACATCTGTCCAATTTAAGTGATTTCAGGTTTTGAAAAAAGAGTAAGCATAAACTACCTTATGTATCTTCTGGAGCTAAAACAAATTCGGAAAAGTCGCTCTAAAATGCAGTCTGGAATTATCAAATATGTTCTACGCAAAAATTCCACAAAACAAATTTCATTTGTTTGACTGCTAAATCGCCATGATATTACATCAGGACTGTAAACATACAATTCAAAAATTCCATCGATCTCATTAAAGAGTTGGTTTGGGTACAGAATGATACATTATAATCAAATAATCGATAAATTTATCTACAAGCCTGTTGTTAACGACAGAAGCTTTATTACCCTTTCTGGCTCGATTTTATTTTATCTCTTAATGCCAAGTTCAGTCCAATCAATATTTTTTCATTAAATTCCATAAAAAAATCTTTTATTCACTGGAGACAATAATTCAAGACTGATCACAGTAAAGTAACATGTTTGTACGCATCACACATGTTAAGTATTACGTAATGCTATAGGGACAGACTGTGTTCTTATTGCCCTGATAAAATAGCTGTGTTTATAAACATATTTCACCTAATTTGCATGCGTTTACATTGACCAATAAATTTAAGAAAGGGAGAAAAGCAAATGGTCCGAGTCTATCGTGTGATTGGTGTGAAAACTATAAGCACTTTGGAGGTCTTCACCAGTTGATTAAAGTATAATTTGGTGTGATTTTACTGTACATGGTGTTCAAAATAGATTGTATGCAAAATCTGTGGCATATCTCCAAGACATTACTGATATAGAGATGTTTTAACTTTAAATGGTTTAAAGAACTTTCATGCAAGATGCTTCCTTTGAAGTACATATGGGCCAGTGATTGGATTTTCACTGATGAGTCTAAGGTTATTCTGAATACAATATTAATCAATATATATTACATTTATTTTCTTTAAGAGGGTGACACTATTAATCGATATTAATTACATTTATATTTTTTTGTGAGACAATGCCTCATAAATCTGGTTTCCAATCAACCATCATTTGGCTTTCAAAATAGATTAAAAGCCCTGAATGCTAGCCATAATTTGTCCATTTGAGAAACAACTGTGAAAGTATACAGCACAGTCACATGCACAATAGGCTGAAAGATGGAATAACTGGATATGAAGAAAACCTTCAAGACTTGCATGCTACATAGAAACTCTATTAAGTTAACATCCCATCCAACTTCATTTCTGGTCTAACAGTGGCATATTATTTCTGGTTATTAGTCACAAGGCATGAACAGAATTGAAAAAGATGGAAGTTCATGTAGTTCGTATCATAGTAACGTCTTAGATCAATCACATGAACTGTCAGGTTGATACCAGGTCAAAATAGAAATATCGTCATAGATTTTTGCCTATTTTATTTGCCATAAGAATTTCATTTAATGTAGCGTTATGGGGGAAGTAATATCTAGCATTTATAAATGGGTGAGTTTTTATTTTTAAACACAAAACAAATATTTTTGGTATATATTTCCCTATGTGTGGGCCTTTGGGGTGGTTCAAAGAAATGGGATTAAATTACAGGTTTAAATTTTATTTTCAACAGCCCCCACTTCATATAGTATCTTCTGCGAGGGAGGTCACATCTGGAGTATCATTGGTGAACTTTGATTGACTCTCGTAGACTATTTCAATTTAATGTTTGTTTTGTTCTCTTCTGATAGATGTCTCCCATAATTCTGTGCACATCTTGTGTGCAGCTCGACTGAACAGACCAGTTCATTGGCTAATACCTGACATCAAACACAATGTGGTATTTATGAAAATGATTTGTGTGTGTTTTAAAGGATAAATCCTACTTTTAACAAGGTTCAAGAAAAAAGTTTTATTTAAGTACAAGTGACTTTTAAGTAAGCAAATCAAACACCAAAAATGTGGAGAAATAACCTATTTACCTTTTCTGAAAGTTTCAAAATATTTGGCCATTGGAAATGATCACCAAAACAATTTACAGGTATTACCCAACTCTTTTAGATACTTGATACCAATTTTTCAATGAGTGACCTGATAAATGCAACTACATGTAAACAATATCTTTTATAAACTTTGCCAAGACCTTCAAAAGTTTGTTACCTCAATGGAAAACAAAAGTATAGTGGAAAGTTGTCACTCGGCCCATGCGTAAGTTGCAGACAGATTTTCCAGACACAAGGTGATTGCTATTCAAGAAACTTGTCTTCAACCCCACCTGATAACTGGACAATTGTATTTCTTTGACAATATATCACAAAGTTTTAAACAGTTGTATTGGACTAGGATAAAGAGTTTCTTTGAATCTTCCACTCCAAATTAACCAGCTTTATTCACTGAAATATGTCTGGGATTGCACCTATAAAATGATCAAAGATGTATTATTGAGAAGAAAAACAAGCCTACCTTTGGTTGGTGATGTCACTTTTGTCTTCGGTAAAAGCTTTGACTGGGTTCTTTCTGAAGACTTGAATAGTTTCTTCTTTTCCTTTTCTGGTTTCTCTTTTTCTTTCTTTACTTTCTTCTTTTCTTTTTCTTCCAGTTTTTGTTTTTGTTTATCTTCCTTTGTTGTTTTTGTTTTTTCAGGTTTTACTTTCGACTTCTCTGCATCTTTGGCTTTATCCGTTTTGCTTCTACTCCTGAATAATTTGGGTCTTGCCGATTCAGACTTTCCTGATGCTTCAGACTTTGGTTTTTCTGCTTCTGCTCCATTTTTTAAGACAGGAATTCTTCCTTTACTCTGTGATTTAATCATTTTGTAAAATTCTTTATTGGAATTGATGATAAAATATAATCATAACACAGTATATTGAATATTCACATTTTGTTTTGATAAAACTTGTTATCCTTTTTCTGTTTCAATAAAATTATAAATTTTTGTTAGCAGGTATTGTTTCATAACACTCTTTTTCGCAGCTTACATATATCACAAAAATAATATTCCTTGTATGAATACCAGTAAGATTATTTTCAAAAGGAAGTGCAGTGTAATTAAATGTTATCAAATTCACATGAATAGAGTAACAACACAAGTGAATCGATTCCAGTTGTTTTAAAACACAGACTTGTTTAAGTAATAATCCCTGATTGTGTGTCGCAGTGCTTCAAACAATAACAATTACTTATATTTCTTAGAAACTAATAATTTCTTAACCAGATAAATGAACTAATCTTAATATATATATATGAATAACCTCCACAACCTTAGTAACGAGGATATAAAAATACTATATGCTATAAATACTATAAATTATTTCTGATATGAGATAACAATCAAAGGTTCATAACAAAGAAGTATCAATTACTCACTATATCAAAGTAAAAACTTAAAAGTATGATGTAACAATTATTCAACATATCAGAGTAACAATTTCTTCAACACAACATTTAAATAATTACTTTTGCAATGAACTCATAGCGTAACAACTGTTTATCATCCCAATACAATAACAAAACTAACAGTAACAATACTAATAACAAATGTAACAATGGTATTCGATGTGATATTAAATAACTATACTGTGCAGTTTTCAGCTGTTGGCAAGGTTTCTTGTTTACAGCAACACATTCAATGGACACATGGATACAATTTACAAAAATTCTAACATCAATATTTATTTAATGTCTTCAATATATCCATTAACTTAGAACAGTTGAAACAACAAAAAACATGCTTTTATAAATCTTAAACTATAATATGTACATTTAGCATGCAATAGATAATAAATTTATCAGAGTTGTTGTATTGAAATAACAGAATCCAGCTTGAATAAAACATAGAATCTTCTGTCTTAACACATTTAAAATCAGATTTGTTTATCACTGAAATAACAGAATAACACTAACATTTAACTAAATTTAGTATTAAGATTCATTTCTTACATATTTCTTTGAACAAGAAAAATATTGCTTTTATACTGTTTAAAATAAAACTACAAGCTACTCTTGTTTCTCAATACAAAGGAAGAATATCTATTTATAAAAACTCAGCTTACATTTACAACTGGTACTGAAACAATTTACCATTGTATATAAGATTTTCTATTTTATACAAGATAAGATTTATGCATTGTTTATAAAATATTCAGATTAAAATCATCTGTTTTCTTAATATATTATGTGACTTATCTCCTTTAAAAAAAACAGATGTAAGGTTTCAAAGAACAGCTTTAAAAAGGTTAAGATAAACTTTAAAGTTTTCCTTCAAGGAAACAGATTTAAAACTTCTAAAAATATTATTCACAACCTTGTTTGTATTCATTTACATGTATTATATCACTTAACAACTGATTGTAAAATCTTATTGAAGAAAGCTGCTAATTTTGCTACTTAGCACCATTTTTCAGCAACTTGGTATTTTTATCTTCCATCAATTAGTTCCTTTTCTCATAATTTTACAACTCATTAAATGATTTGATTTTCTTCAATATTTTTAATCATTCGATTTCACCTTTGGGAAGCTTTGACATATTTATAAATCCAATTTTTCACAACCCATTAAATTAGTAGTAATCCTGAATTTCCTTTCACAATAAAGTTAATCACTCGGAATATTTAGTAAATATATACATCTTTGATCATAACTCTTTCATGTCGCAGGCCCCACAGCTAATTCCAGATTTTACGAATATTAATAAAATATCTATATCACAACCAATCTCTATCACAATACGCCTCCTGCAAAAAAGCAAAATATAAAATCATTAAGAGAGCGAAGCAGTGTTAAAAACAAAGTCATTTTGGGATTAACATGTGGTATATATCTAGTGATGGATTACCAGTACCCCGAGAGAGTGAGAAAACCTATACAGCTGCGCAAGTGATGATACTCCGTTTTACGTTTAGGATCGAACCTATGACCGACATACAACTGTAGATAACAGATCATGTGATCTACTGTCCCTCCTCCCCCAATAAAACTGTAAATAAAATAGTAAATAAAACGGATAGCTTTATACACTGTTAGTAATTTCGTTACTCATCATTTAAGGTTTTTAAATTTCTCAATTTCAATACTTAACGACCAACTGTAACAAAAGATTGGAATGGGGTTGACCAAATGGTTTCTTGTCTGACGAGCAAACTTATGCAACAGCATCCTGGTCAATGCAAGTAGTCAAATATCGATATTCTAGTTGCAATATAAGAACCAAAATCAGATTGCCATAATTAACTGTAAATGTTCAAATTCTGATGATGTGGCCCTGAATACAATATAACTGTCAAGTGTTTAGGTTTCAAAATGTCTATAATTTAATCTGCTGTGATATTTATGTTTCCTTGAGTTTTAAAATGCACCTTAAAACTTCACAAAACATTTGCAAGACACTGAATTCCAATTATTTGTTTATAAATTGAACACAATGTATCTACTTCTGGGCTACATCAGTATTGCTCTAAAACAGATTGTCCTATTCTACATTGGTAAGAAATGAACCTGTTATAATACACTTTAACTCACACATTTCCTTACTAGAAAATATAAACAAATTAAAATCTACACATATATAACAGCACCTGCAAAACTTGAATCAAGGTGTTGAAAAACAAAACTATAACTTGTACAGTATGTTCACTATTTTTATAATTGATACCACCTCCTGCCTATTCTTCCCTCGTTGTATTCAGAACTGAATTTGTTACGGAATTACAGTATTCCCATGAGATTGACTAAATTAAAGACAACCTGCAATCTGATTAAAACACAGATCCTATTTCGTTTCGTTTTTTATAGTTTAAAATTTCGTTTCATTTGTCTGTAAAACACTAGGATCTGGAAGAGTTGTTATATAACATGCGTTCTGGACAGTTTGAGGTATTAGTCAATGAAACCATTATGGCGACTTCTTGGCGTGCCATGCATGGAACTGTGGGTAAACCACTAGAAACGTCAACGCTGATTGATTAATCAATGTCTGACGTCATAGGATCAAAAGCCGCTCATACGACCCCTGACTCTACCTTTTAGTAAAACTGGTCAGATCTTCATGTAGTAGAGGTCATCGAAAGTATAAAAATGAAACAAACTATAGATCTGTATTTTAATCAGACTGGACAACCTGCTCAAATTGGAGGTTTGGGTGAAAGGTGAAATTTTGTTGTATTATTATTCTTAATAAGCATTGGTGCCATTATGTTTTGTACAATACATAAAGAAAAATAATACACCAAATCAAAGTAAGATGTTTCTTCACATGGCTGAACCACCAGCATCATGAAGTGTATATTCAACACATGGTATAATATTCCACAAACAAATCATAAGCTCATACATGTACATGGAAAAAATTATAATTGTTTATTCATGCAGCTGAACTACCAGCATGATGGAAATACTAGTACAAAATAAATAAATATCTTTTCGGGTGTAGATACCTCTTTGTTAAAACTTTGGATTTAACTCAAAAAAAAAAGAAAAGGAAAAGTATGGGACAAAAAATTAGCACGAACTACATTATTCATAAAGTGGAAACAAATTTCTATTTACAGAGCTATACTGAATTCTCATATCTTGCTTAATTTGATATTCCCTTGAGTTCTAAACCAATTTAACACAAATGGTTAAAATTGTTGGTTTCAATAAAGAAGGCAATAAATTTATTCTTGTAATATTATATAATTCTATTTTCACTGGATACAATTGTGAATCGAATATTGGTCATAAGAAATATACCCACCATTTGAACTTTTTACAGAATTCAAAGACAGATTTCAATTTCAGTGAAAATATCATACATTGTTTAAATTTCTATTGTCATATTTATCGTTTCTATAAGGGTATAATCTTTTTATATATATGATGTTTTTATAAACAGTTAAAGTGAGAGTCCTTATCCAGGTTATGCAGACAACTTATATATGACTAGTTACATGTATATCCAGACACTTTATTTACAATGTATGATTAACCAGACATGAAAAGAAATGAAATGAAATGGGGTTTAACGTCCTACTGTTCTGCTCCAAACTGGGCTAATTAAGACGAGCATACGCCATACAGTGTGCTATGAGGGAAATTTTGCCCGGACAGAGGCACTACAGCCTACTCTTACTGTCAAGGGATCTTTTACGTGCATGCCAATGTGTACACAGGACCTCGTTTTTTTACCCTCTCCAAACTACTAGACAGCTGTGCTTGTCAAGCCCTCCATCCTGCATCACTGACAAGGGAGAACCACGCCAGAAAATCTGGATGAACTGATTAACCAGACACAAATGCCACAAAATTATGAGAAATAGTTTGAGATTGTTTTCATTTTTTTTAATTTCCCATTCTCTAATGAACTTGGTTTCCAAACTCCATTGTTCATCTTGCAATGCTAAATTTAGTATCAGTAACTTTCCTAAGAATATGGTAAATTTATATTAATATATTAATGGAATTTCATATGGTTCTGTTGTAAATGTGACTTGATAATCCTTCTTCACTACAACATCAGCAAGAGAAATGGGACTTAAATTACCAATGCAGGTACATCCAGTTTTGTAGATTTACAGATAGAAGAAAATTGTTATTTTGACCTGAAGTCAAATGTTTGACTGTTTCATTTCTAGATGTTCATAATCTTTGGAATATTTTGTTGATTTGTGGTAAATGTTTAAAAGCCGCTAGTAGTACAAATAACATTGTTTATTTGATTTATGACTCATGATTGGACTATTGTATGGAAATGAAGAAAAGAAACCCATGAAAGAATAACAATATTTATGTTCCTCTGGATGGTAATTTCAATCTGTATTCTCCACGTAGATCCACAGTACATGCTCAGTGTTTATTAGATTTATCGCTAGCCTTTTTTACAAACTGATTCGCCAAATTGAATGAAAGTCATTTCAAACAAAGAATAAATGTTGAACATCTTCAGAAAATTCCAATTACTTCTTGTGATTTATGAGCAGTTATTCTAATCAAAGACAGAAATCCATATAAGATTTCTTTAGCTTGAGCCATAGGCTCATTTGATAATCATTTTCTGGTACAAGTACATACAAAGTCTAGATCTATTAAGTCAATTTTTAAAAAAACGAAAAAAATAAACAAACACATACCAGAATTCCTTTTGATAATATTACCATGCCAAGTATAATTCTCACATTCAGACTATGTTTATTGGAGGTATTATAAATTTCACAGCCAACTTGCTTGATAAATTATTTAGTGCTGACTTCTCTTCTTTATGTGTCTGTAAAGAGAAAAAATC